CAGATGCGCATTAACATTGTCCGTGTCCCATAAACAAAGAAATCTGTCTATGATACTGCCAGCCCTGGCTCCGGCATAGAGAGAACATCATGTGTGATTAGGGTTGTGCATTGTTCATCTGTTTAGTACAAACAGTGCCATCCTTTGCTGTTGTCTCACAGCTAAGTTCTAAAGTGGTAAATCTGATGCTGAAGAAATCAAGTACATTTCTAAATTGTTTTTTATAATGCTGCTTTAATAATAGGATTAAGAAAATGTCTTCCTATCCATACAGTAAGGGCACCAACACCCTGGATAACAGTGCCTTTGTATTCATTTGGATTACAGTTGTCTGTTTTTCACATTAAAATCCATTTTCAACCATTTTAGTTCATTGGGTAGGATTGGTGTGATGATCCTGCTGTATGGATGATGACTTGTATTGTATCTAATCTCCACGGTACTTCGGGCTCAGAATATAAACACATCTCCTATTCCTACTTCATTTACATGGAACTTGCGTGTTGTTACACCACCGCTCACAACCTTGCATCATGTGTGAGCACAAACATACAAAGGGAAAGGACAAGATTTCCAAAAGTGGAAACGTGTACAACCAATAAAAAAGCCTTCCACATTTTAAAGAGTGTCTCTGCTTTTGGTTTTTTGAAGTGCATTATTACCACATTTCCCTGCTGCATCCTCGTGCCTCTGCAGTGGCCAACCGAGGAAACCACCTGCCGAAACTAGGAACAGTGCAATTACATGGCCACAAAGGGCCATATAGGGCCTAGCAGATTACTGGCAGACACCTCATTACTGCAGCAAACTTCAACAATAGGCCTGGGCATTGCTTCTTCTACATCCATCTGTCAAGTGTGCTATTAGCCTGTCAAATGGGGACAGTCAGCCCCATTAGGCCACCCTGATAATCAGACCTATTTACTCTCTCATTTTCCTCTCCTTCAATGTCACAGTCTAGCGGTCTGGTCAAAAAAAGTGATTCCTTTCTCCATCCAGCCCTGTCTTCCCTCCCACCTCTCCCCTGACTGATTCCCAGACAAAGACAAGTTCAGTTGGTGCGTACATTTTTTGAGAGTCATTGTAATCAAATATGGTAAGCCCTCAACCAACTGGGCCAAATTGTATTTCTAAATGTACTACTATACGAATGGGACCTGGATACAGCAATCTTTTTCAATGGTCTTTGAGATAAATATGAAATTAGTTCACTCTATACTGACATAAGGTATTTCATCAGTGAAGCTGACCAGAAAATACAAAAAATGTTTCTAAGCTGACAAACATGTAACTCATTCCTAGGGATGGGTATCGTTAGGATTTTATCAATACCGATACCGATACTGCTTATCGATACCGGTATTTTTCAATACTCTTATCGATACTTTTCAATAATTTGGTGCTCAAAATTATAGACATGATTACAAGATGTGAATATTAAACAACAGTCATTTTATTGTAATTTATATGTATTTATTATTTAATGTAACTTTTTCAATGTCATACCAAGCAGGTATGAGTGTGTTTGACAGTGTGTCTCTAGAAGGGGGGCGGTAATTAGGGGCAGTTCATAAATCCATGTAAACATGACCATTATTCAGTTAAAACGAGACGCTGCGTGCGCACCTCCTAAACCGGAAGCTCATTACATCATTACAATCCGTTTATTGCGTTATTATTATTTATAATTGTAATGATGGATTATCAGTAATCATTTTAAAGTTACACAGAGACATTGGATTAACCGTTTGTATGCCCTTGAACACAACTTTTGATCGCAAAACAGCAACGGTAAGACTTAATTATCATCATGGCTACGTAAAGTGAAGTTGTTTTCTTGCTATTTCCTGGTTGCTAGTTCAGTGAGTTGTGTGTTACGGCTGATGGAACATTACCAATGGGAATTTTGTGGAATCTGCGAGCTTTCATGGCGATATGTCGTTTGTGCAGAGGACTGTTAGCATGGCGTGAGAAAAGATTGATTTTGCCAGAACTTATAATGGGCTAAGTAGCTGTAGCACCGTGTAGCCCGTAGCATGGTTTCGCTAATGTTGATTTAGATCTTGGTGTTGGACTTCTGTTCCGTGTAGGTTAAATGCCAGGCCGCGCCCTCCCTACAGGCAGATCACGCAGACTGCGTGGGGGCCCTTACCTTGCGGAGGAGCCTCAAATGAGGCTCCCTAGCTCCAGCCCCCCCCCCAATAACAAACGTACAATACGATTACATACTTACATGTCACTTGTAGCAGCTAATTCTATGCCAAACGGAACTTACATACTCATACTGTGGACATCACCCACAGGAGGCAATTTCGGGTGAAAGGGTTCAGGGACAGCAACGACATGCTGAGCTAAAGTGGGGTTCGAGCCCTGATCCGAACCAACAATGCACAACCCACTACGATGCGCATCAATGGCAAAGATATTGCAGATGTAGCTAAGATTTATTTACAAAACAATCGCACACTTGGCTCTGCCTAATTTCATCTTATAGATCACCTTGACAATCTTATTGATGTTATATCCTGATTCTTAAAAGGACCACAGGACCAGGCACAATAAGAGTGGCGAGTCACGCCCATCTACTTCCGGTCCATCGAGAACCTTATTTCGGAAAAAATAATGATATGAAGTCCAATGGAGAGAGAAAAGAATATCTTCAGATCCGTTGAATGTTTGTGCCATGAATTACGAATATGATGTTTGTCAATCTTTAAACAATTATTTCCATGTCAAAAAAAGTCACAGATGAAAACGATGTAAGATATAACCAATAATGAATAAATAATAAATAAAATAATAATCTACAACTTGGGTCAAATATAAAAGTCAGCCGATTAGTGTTGATACTACAGGAGGACGTATTGTGTGAAGAGAAATTGAAGATTGTTGTTTATATGTTTAGATGTTGCTGATATATTTATGATCCACGTCACGTATTCAGTTTCAGCGGCATTTCATCCAGTTTGTCTTGAAGTCTTCTAATCAGGGCTCTATAAATAAATAACTAAGGCAGATGTGTAATATTTAATGCAGCCGAACCGTTTATTACAATGCCGTTATGTGATAACTTCCAAAGAGAAAAGCAAGTACACTCGGATTAAAGTATTATATATTTTTCTTTTAAATGTTTTTGGATTTCATATCGCATAAACACCATATCCCAGCGTGCATTGCGGCTAAAACATCCAATAAAGCTGAGGATCTTGGGTAATCAGTTCAGTGGGTGTGTATTGCCTACGTCTGTTTCCGGTGACTTTATTTTGAAATTCAGTTCCTGACGGACGGCAAAAAAGCCAGATATTATAGAATCAAACAAATAAATAAAAACAAGGATAATTGTGTTTTATTGTTGAGTAAATAACAGTGTGCTATTTAGAAAATAATAACACAGAAGAAAAAAAAGATTTAAAAAAATACAGATTTCGGTATTCTGAGGTTCTGATACCGTCCAATCGGCTACCGGTACTGACTTAGTTCTCGATACCCATCCCTACTCTTTCCTTATGGGAACCTTGCCAGTATAAACTTTAACCAACAATATGTTTTGCCCCACTGTGACTACACTTCATATCGGTTATTGGGTCCCAAAAAGCTTACGCTGTGAGTTTCAGGGTCGGCTTCATCCACAGAAACACAGAAAAATGAGAGCCTCATTTAAATGTTTCACTTGGTCAATACTTTTCCCTTGATGAGGTGCTTCTGTGTGTAAGTCAAAGATCTACAAAGGCATGAAGAACTGAGAGGACCGGAAAAAACAATATCCTCGACCTGTCATTTCCATTGGCTGGGCTCAGGTCCCATCACAGGAACAGTTAGAGGCGAAGCACACACAATTATACAGAGAGAAAGACAGGGAGGAAGGTCATTTTTATTGGCTTGGCTCATATCCATCACAGGCAAAGTCAATGTGCAGACACATGCACACAAACCCAGCTGTCTCTGTATCTATCTTGGTTCAGTCTCCTTCGGTCTGACATTAAAGTATTGAACAGAGTTTCATCTGGATGACTGTTATACAACACTAAAGGTGAAACATGTACTTCAACGTGTCTATTGTCATGAGCATTGCAACGAAGACATTATCGCTTTGAGGATCATGGCAAATTCTTGATGTAACTCAAAGGGATATAATTAAGTTGGATGTATTCTCTTGTTGTTTTGTGTTAATTCAAAAAGCTGTGTTGTTGTATAAATATAAGGATTAACAGACAGGTTCCAACTTGGGTGTAGGCTCCTGTGAAGAGAGAAGTACTGACTTGCTGTGTGGCATTGCTCTTAACACAAAGTCTCATTAAACAAAGACCAAAGAAAGACAACAGAGAGATGCGTCAGTCTGTGAAGCAACCAGGTGTGAACTAAAAAATGAGGTTTCATAAATGACTTTTGTTATTTTTGGAAATATTATTACCTTTAGCAATGTTAAAAAGCAAGTATCGCTGGAATTCCCTGAGAGAAATACAAATTCTGTCTTTTTCCATCAAAGGATTTGATGTGTAAATAAACTACAAAAGAAAGAGGGATGGTGCAGTGAATTGTACTTGACCTCCAACAAAATGTAACATGCTGTGTCTTGAGTCTGAGCTTCAATTCCTCCATCGTGTCTTTAGAACGGAAAGCCATTACTTTGATTCAGGGAGGAAGGTCTAAAAAGAGAGCATGAATGTATAACTTGCACTAAACCAACTGGCCTCATGCTCCAAGCGTTAAAGTCATTATTCACGCTGGAGCAACGTGAAATATAAGCAGCCCTGAAGTCAGCTACCATTATGCAGCGAATAAGACTGACTGCAAATTGTGTTAGATGGTGATATTTTTAAATGAGAGTATCTGCATTTAATTATAATGATAGTATAATTTGTCATTTCAGAACTATAAACTAAAATAAAGCACTTGTTTGAGTTAATAACGCTAAATGATGATGATATTGCAAATGGTAAATAATAGTCATCGTGATCATCATTAGGCCAAAACCACACCTAGCTGTAGCAGCCACTTACCAGCCTGGTTGGTGGTGATGTCTATGGAAACATGCTGGGCAGGGTACGGGCTCTTATTGCTGACTCCATTCACAGCCTGTATCTCAAAGCTGTAGAGGGTGTGAGCCAGCAGGTTGCTGATGAACACCCTGGTGTCAGTCAGACCCAGCTGTCGAGGGACGAAGTCCACATTGTCGTCGCAGTGGGAGCAAGAGCGCCGGTCGGCCCGGCACTTCTTGCACACTATGTTGTAGACGACGTCTTCACGGCCGCCCGTCTCCCTGGGAGAATGCCACTCCAGGATTACAGAGGTTTCGTTCACAATGGAGATCACATTCCTTGGGCTTGACGGGACACCTGTAGACAGACAGCCAACAGATGTACGCCAATTGAGTGTGTACCTTAACATCTAGAACCAATTCATATCAGAACGGTTGTGATCCTTGAAGCACATTGCTTATCAAGAACAATTGTTTCATTAATCTCCTTACTGTTAGGTCAATTCAGCCAATTTACAAACCCGTAATACTTAAGTTGTCAAAGACTTTTTCTCTATCTTCAGCACAATTTGAATGCTAATTTATTCGAATCACACCTAGAGAGATCATACAGCGAAACATTTGTGTCTATCAAACATTGGTTATTTAGCAAAATGCAGTGTTGCATGGAGTATTCTTATCCAAGTGTCTCTGGAAATTCACGCTCCCATTCCCTCCCTCATAGCCTGCAGCTGGAGCAGAAGCTCAAAGACGATATTAAGAAAAAATCAAGAAAATATAAAACCATTGTCTTGCTTGAGTAGTGGCTTGATATTGGGGTGCAAACAAGTGGCTTGTTCAGCTCCCCCTAATTGAAGTACAATAAGTTTAAAGTGTCTGCTGCTCAGAGGCAGCTCTTTCTTCTCAGATACCAGACTCTGCCGATAAAGCAGAAGCTTGGCAAAACCCTTAGTCAGTGCTGCTCAGGTTAAGTGAGGCTGCCCTGCAGAGCTGATCTGGTACCAATTTATCCTCCATAAAGCCTGACCTTTATCATTAAAAGAGGAGTTGAACTGACCTACTTCTAAATCTATGACTACTGTGAAACAAATATCCGCTCAGTTCTCCAAAACCTTTTAAGAACTACTCAGCTTCCCTCGTCTCTTTTCGCACTTTATAAAAATATGACAGCAAGCACACATATAGATTTTGAAGAATATTATGAAACAACACTCCCATTTCTCTGAGCTAAGGGCAGACATTTACTTCAGTCAACACAGACACAATTAATCATTGTTGCAGCAGAACCACGTGGGACAGCCCTAGGAAGCTGGGACAAAGCGGCAGTACACACGAGGGGTGAGGGAACGGCACTGGTACTGCTGCAACCTCAGCTCAGTGCTTCAACAACAGAGAGGTCAGTGACAGGAAGGGTGTGACCTCCACAGTGTGATTATTATGGTCTGGCTGAAAGGATAGCTAGTGCTCCAGAATCATGGTCAGATGACACATCATTTGGTCCTTGGTTGCTACCAGATGTCCATGGATTGAAAAGACAAAGAAAAAAAGGGTGTGTGCCGGTAGGAACAGGTCATATTAGAGAATTGGCAGCATTTTAGCTTCTCCCCTTGGGGAATGCACAATAGAGACTTCATATGTTACTCACGCCACTTGTATCCTCTGTATAATCCATCACACACATGCACTAGACTCCAAAGTTGCTTCGTAGGGAAAAGAAATGCACATCTGCTCAAGTGGAAAATGCATGCGACACAAACACACACAGAGGTCCTATCTGTTTCTGTGTATTCATGCCTGCACTGTCTGCATCAATGTATTCTTACAGTGATAGAAGACATTTTATTTGCGCCTGGCTGAGGTGTGAACAAGGTGTTACAGCCCTTCGTCCCAATTACAAGCTTCACATATGCAGGGATGGCACAATAAATTAGATGTGACGGCCACTTAACCAGTGATTTGCAGACTGCAGACTTTGGCTGTTTTAATTGGCCATAGGATTAATCTGTTGGGAACGTTACTTACAGGCACTCAGCATGTGTTCATTTAGTCTTGCCAGTCAGATTTAGTTGTGCTCACATACACGTTGCTTTCACTTATGTTTAAAGGAGCAGAACAGCACCTCCAAGCAGCTCCAAGGGCTCCATTTTAACTGTGCAATCACAACAGCCAGTGCTAAGTGTCAGGTCATGTGTGCAAGGGCAATGAGGACGGCAAAGTAATGATAAGCGTTGTATTATACCCTATTTAGTAGCTGTGTCAATCGCAGAACTTAGACAATAATAGCTATTTAAATGAAGTTACGATGGTTGTCGAAAAAGCACATAAGGCAGAAATACATGTTAATATGCAAGTAGTGAGCCATATGATTCAAGCTTTTAGGACTGAAATGGCTTGAATGTAAATGTTTTCAAATGTTGTTACTGCTTTTAGTAACCGTGAATGTACTCAATTAGATTTGCTTGGGTTGACATGCAAGTCCTTTCTTGGGAGAAAAAAAAGTTTTTACGAAAAGAGTCAAGTAAAAATCTTTGTAACAATACCCCATAATAATCCACTTTACGTGACAATCTAGAGAAAGTTATTTTAAAAAGAAACGTTGATCATATTAACTGTCACTGAGCCGTAAAGATATTTTGATCTACCATCCTCCTTCCTTTATCACTCTACAGCTGTGTGGGGCATGAACATCCCAAGCAAATGTAAAAGGTACAAGCAAGTATATCGCTTGCACCCCTCTCTCTGAACAAGAAAAGACCAAAAGAGAGAGATGGATCACTTTTTAATTAAAATGTTCTGTAAAAGTGTGAGGAAGCTTAAAGGTACCAGCTGGGCTTTAAAAGCCTCAACCCAGTTTTCCCTTTTCGGCTGCTAATATAAAGAGTGTCCCAGTGCCTGAAATAAACACTTCTGCACATTGTGTACTTATCTACCCTTTGAATGGTCTGAGACCGGAGCTTCTCTTCTTTCAAACGGCTTGTTTTTATGATGTGAAACAGGTCTCGAGGGATCAACAGAAGGTCCCTGTGTGGAGATACTGATCACAGCCAGAGGAGCTAGGAAAAAATAAAGAAGGGCCGTGTGGGCTGGTTAGACGTGAAATAAAACATGTTATAACGACTAATATTGTCTGGCTGAGAGACTGAGGGGGTCAATGATAGACTTTTAGTGTTATGGTACCATGCAGTGCAGTTTTGTAGATTTGGGTGCATCCACATGACTTGTCTCAGGACACGCAACATGAATATGGGGAAGCTTCTCTGACTAAAATAATAAATAACTGTGATTCCAACTTTCAATCACTGCACCCAAAGCTTTAGATGTGATCGATAGACATTTGTGTGCATGCATGTCTGAAATGTTTTCCAAGCAAGCCCAGGGATTAGAGTAGGCTAAACAATTACCTTGACTTATCTCCATTTGCTATTTACTGACAGGAAACTGGCAAGTCGGCGGCTTGGGAGGAACCCTCAACTGACTCCAGAACTGACAACTTAGTTCATGTGGAAAAAAAACACTTGGATAATAGGACAGAATATTTATGCTCTTTGACGGCTCCCTCCTCTGTCTCTTTGAAACCAGAACAGGGAGAGAAGAGAGACAGTAAATAGGAGAGTAAAGAAGAACACAATCTAAATGGACTCCAGAGGAAAATAGAAAAATAGATAACCCTGTCCTTTCAGTCAGGAATTTTGATGGGTTTGTTTGTTTTTACGAGGCGCAGACAGTGTTTGACAGGGCTCAAGGGGGTTTTCAGGGGCCGGGCCAGATATGAGTATTGAGAAAGAGCCGCAAGAAGCAGAGCCAATGTGGTATGGATTTGGAATGCAGAAACCCTTCTGAACCATCCTATTTTCCTTCTCTTCCCCTGTATTTATGTTGATTCAATTACATTCCAAAGACTTTTCTCATAAATTGGTTGGTGGCTGGCAGTGGTGGTTTGCATATACTGTACAGCCTGTTTTATTTATCTTTTTTTAATCCTGCTTGAACGTGACTCTCTGTGTTACTGTGGGCTGTGTATAACTTCCCTAGACAGCTCTTTTAATCCATCACTTCTTCTACCTTAAACATACAGATACAAATACAGCCAATGTGTTGATGTTTGTTTTCAAATTTTTTGAATGTCTAACTTTGTCATCAGTCCTTCCCTGCAATCATTTCCTTCCCTTTACCACAATTTCTCACACCAGGATGCTCTATCACCGCATCTCATCTCCCCTATGGACCAATCAGCACTGGTTTGCCTGACTCCCGTCTGTTACATCTCATCTCATCATTCTCTTTCTGAGGCTTACACGTATAGAAAAAAACCCTGGCCCAGCATGCGGGAGCTGGCTGACCTCCCCCAAAACACATGTACATCCATTTTCTTCTCATACGGGGGTAAGGACCAGGATGCAGGGCAATGCAAACCATTGTCCCAAAGCTCGCTATGCTGGGTAGCCAAGCTGAGAGGAGTGGGCTTCACGCTGTGAGATAGAGCGGCGAGCGCCTGGTGTTCCTTTTTCACAGGCATGGCAGGAGTCAGCACAAGACAGAGGATTGAGATGAAGGAGGTATGGGAGGTGGAGAGGAGTTTGAAGTGCATCCAAGGTATAGCATATCCCTGAGGGGAAAGTAGCGGGGGGAGGGTTATAGCATGAAGCCCCCCTGCTGACAGAGCCAGGTGCTGGACAAACCATCAGGAAGCTAATCAGACTGATCAGGATCACACTTAGACCCGCGCCTCTGATGGTGTCTAGAGGCGCTTAAGCTACAGCTTCTGCCGCTACATATTGGCCTGATTTAAGCTACTCAAGCAGAGCTCTTTTCAGGACTGGCAGTATTAAAGAGATTCTTACTAGGATGATCTCACTGCCTCCCCCTGCTGAGATCTAGGGCATCAAGTTCAGCTGCTATACTGTATGAGGCAAACGTCAGAGAAGTGTTCGGTTGTGCCGTTGGAAAACAAATCTGCCAAGGAAATTGAGGAGGCATTGAAGTTGGTTTAAGATGTTAATGTTAAAAGGGACGGTTTAAAAATGAAAAGTCTCATAGCATTCTAAAAGGCATACATTTGTGATGTTATGGTAGGGCCCCACAGTATGGAAAAAAAGTGACTTTATTTTTCATGGGATATATATATTGCCTGCTTTGGTTGATTTTATTAAATAGATCAATAATGATTGTGATTGGTGGTTGGCTTTGTGTACAATGCTTGCATGTCCACTTGGCACTTTAGTTATCATTAAAAACCATACATATTCTAACATGAAGGTTGAGATATTGACAGAGTTCAAATTGTACTGAACGTTAGAGGAAAATAGAGTGTGAAGCTGAGAAAAGAAGGACAGAACTGACAGAGAAGATAACATTGAAGTGGTGTGATTCAAGGCAGAAATAAGTAAAAAAAAAAGGCTACAATCAGAAACTGAACACAATCCAAAGGGATCTGTTCAAGAAGCTCCACTGGGGAGCTGTTGTGGAAATTGCTTGGGGAATATTCTAGGCCTCAAGGTAGAGGCAGATGCTATACTTGATGGAGCGTTCACTAATTCATCGGGGGCATAAGCAGCATATGGGAAGGCGGGCAAAACTCAAGGTGAAAATGGGGTGTCATCCGTTGAGGAACATCCAAAGCCTAAAGGTGTAGACGGCTATGTTTCAGAAGCTCTAGAGCAGTCAGACAAGCAGCTAGTCTGCTTTGGGGATCCATTGCAGCTTAAAGGCCCATCGTATTCAGAGTTATAAAAACAAAATACAACATAGGAGATGCATTCAATACGCCAGCGTTTCCCAACCTTTTTCAACTCAGGGCCCTCGAGAGGTGTCATGGCCATTTCCACTGATCATAATTCCATTGTTGAGGTATACTAAAATAGAAAAATACTGTGCAATTTTCCAAACTCACATTGGTTTCGCATACAGCATCCCTGTAAAGTATGTGTACACAGCAGTATTCACTTTCTCCACTAAACGGCTCGCTGCAGCTCCCCCCCCCCTCCCTGTGAGCCCAGAGTGTGCTCTGATTGGTCGGTACGTTGTGAATCGCGCTGAGCTCCGTGGAGGTGTGATTTCCTTGTTTAGCGATACACAGCCAAACTCAACCTGAACACACACAAAGTCACAGCCGAAATAAAAACAATAAGTGTGGCTTGATATTGAGTAAGAAAAAGGTTTATAGGTTGATAAACGCTGTGAGAATGGGTCTGCAGAGAGAATTTCCCCGCAATCTCAACTGTCTGTTTATCAGCCTGCAGCCAGGGAGCAGAAATCAGCAGAGCTGCCTGCACTGTCAGTGTGTGTGGATTTGTCAATTTGGACCAATCAGCGGGGGCTTAACGTAACGGCTCCGCGGACGTAACGTAACGGCTCCACGGATTGGCCTATTTAGTTCCGGGTACGTGCTTTCGTAAGCACGTACCTGGAAGAATCAAATGGATGATGACGTTTCACCAACGAGGCGTTTTTGGGGAGGTATTTTCTGTGTTAGAGTTTTACTCGCTACAGGGTGTACTTTAAGTGTTTTGACTCTGTACACCGTTTACATGCAGAAAAACCTTCATAACACACAAGGGGACGGGTAATAACCGGAAAAGCATGACATGTCACCTTTAAGAATCAAAAGTATTTTCGCAGCCGACATTCAACCATAATCAATATGGAGGCTAAATAAAGTTCTGATTGGTCAATTCAGAACATCTGACATGTTGTTAATCCAGTAGTACAGACCGCTGTCAAGGACTGTAATGACCGTTGCTAAGGAGGATCAAGAAAGAATGGAAAACAGGTTAAAATAGAAAATAAATCTTAATAATGAAAATGTTTCCACACAAATCATAATGTTTTGCAAATTATTTGGCGGCAAATATTGAATTTACATTTACACCCTTTAATATTTTATTTGGGCTTTTAGATGAAGACTGCACACAGTTAATAAATACAACTATTATTCTGGTTAAATACATATTTTTAAAAGTCAATCAAGGAGTAATCTTAATTGAAGGTGTTTGAAGAGTAGATTGAAAATACAATTTATTTTGGAAAAGATTATTGCTACAAAAAATCAAAGGCTCATCACACCATGANGACTGCCAGAAAAATCAAAGGGTGGCTCAACACGCCATGAAATGGGAAATAATTAGCTCTAACAAAGAGTGGGATTAAAGGAACAATATGCTTGCCATTTTGTGTTTTTGGTGGTTTTTGGTTGTCAACCTATTTTTGTTTGTGAAATGTTGAAGTGATCCTACTGACTGCATCTTTATTTATTCTGTTTTTGTTTTTGTCTGAGATGGGAATGTCATCTCCTATATGTTATTGTTATGTCCATGTTTGTGTCTTTAGCCTGTACAAAATAATAATAAAAAAACTTGCAATGCCTTCGTGGACCACTAGGGGGCCGCGGCCAACAGGTTGGGAACCGCTGCAATACACGTTTTACCTTTTAACTCTACAACTGCTAAGCGATGAGGAAAGGAGTTTGGTCCTGAGCCCATTTCTGAGGCCAATTAGCCAGGTCTATGTGAATAAATCAGGAATAAAAGAATGAATAACCACACCAAGAATGAATTACCACACCAATAATGCTTCCAGGTCTGCTGTTTATAAACCATTAAGGCACTCCCTAGCGGCAGCGAAGGAAGAGAGGGAAACAAACTTTTTGGGGTCGAACAGTGCTCTCCTTCTGTGTAACTATGTGTCAGCAGGGAACGTCAGGAAGGCTTAGCATATTGCTTTTACATCATATTAAGATAACTACAATGCTGTGAGAGGCCTTATTGGATCTCCAGCGGATAACGGCAGGACAGTGTAGAAAGCTTCGCAGCATTTGCCTGAGTAATTAGGACTTCAGGGGATGATAGCAGACAGAAAGAAAGAAAGAACAGCAGCAAGAAAAGGAGACAGAGAGAAGGAAATAACTCAGAATTCAACAGACAGAGAGGTCGCTCTCTGGCAGAGTGACAGAGACGTCAATGACGGAAACCTTCAAATGTGATCATTATGAACAGAATTAGAAGCCAACCAGGGTTTTGGATAGACGCCCTTTAAAATGCTACAATATGTGCTAGTTGGATGATAGTGTGAAATACACAGACAAAGTAAGATGGGAAAAAATCTCGACACTTTTGTCATTCTGCAAATACAGTGGCTTGTATATATTTATCATTCCTTTTTCAAATAGATTTACACTGAAATGGACAATGCCCACATAGATTCCTATACAAAGTACTTTTCGTACTAGAATGTAAGAGTTTGACATTGTTGGAGTGTTTATGTCATGTACAATGTACTCACTCGTGCAGGGTTCATCCGGCTGATCAGCATCACCACGGTAATAACCGTTGCGGCACACACAGATGGTGGCGGCTTCAGCTGTGGAGCGGCTGTTGGGAGGGCATTGTAGACACAGACCTGGACCCTGGGTTGACTTGAAGGTACCCGGCGGGCATGCTGTGAAAACAGAAAAACAATGTCAGAAAATCTGAGAAAAACCATGAGCAAAGAATTATGCATGAGTCAGAAATCTGGGTCTAATAAATCAGCTATAATGGTAAGCAGAGATGAAAGAAATATTCTCACACATCCCCTTTAACACTACATATTTTTACGTCTTTCTTTTTTGTTTACTGTATGGAATAAACTAATTAGATGCTTGTTTCATTACTGAGCTTTAGAGGTGCTGGTAGGTGGACTTTTTTTGTTGTTGCCCCTGTTGATGAGAGAACTTATTGCTCAGTGTATTGCGTAATTTTTGACATGAGAGAGGATTGAATTTATCATCTAATTCTTGGCAAAAGTATTGAACTATTCCTTTTGTTACTGAGTTTACAATCATGAATAATATCCTAATGTATACAATCAGTAGATTCAAAATCCAGAATCCAGTAGAAAGTTGGTCATCAGGTGCTGTTGGATAACGGTGTGCCTGTGGCCAATCGTCAGTCGTTTTTGCACTGTTGTGATGGCCATTGGCCCATATTCAGCCATTTCAGCTTGTTAAATCAATGGCTGAGGCAATCAGTAAGGTAGAACTGTCTGACTGGCGGTACAGCCTAGCAAAAACTGATTTCACAAGGTTCTGTCTTTTTTTCCACCTCCAGTGTTTCCTACCAAAAGACCTGCAAAGACCACATGCTAACAACACCAGTAAAAATATAAAAGGCTTAGTGCCAGTTTTACAATATGTATTCTCCCGGTTATTTTAACACAACTGTTTAATAGGTTTGATAGTGGCATGAAAATGGTTGCCTAGTGTCCTGTGTTTTATTTTCAATAATGTTTAGATAAAAAAAATAAGTTTCCAATATTTTTGCTAAACTAAGCTGAGCTACCTTACTACTGGATACTGTTTATGTTCAGATTGTAAGACTTCCACACGAGGCAAAGTCTCTGGTTAGTGGAGGTTGGTTTCTTTAGTTTGAGTCCTAAATTCTAAAGGACATGGAGGTGGACACAGATTATTATTGTTGATGTCTTTGTCCAGGCAATAACCTAATCCATTTACCCTCATATCCCAAAAGAATACAAAGCAATGGGGGTTTCTGTACTTTGTGGAAGGATTTACTGACTATAATAACCATGATAAATGTCTAATATTTTAGCAGGCTTACTGATGGGTGAGGAAGCTGTGGTGCCACTGAACTCCAGAGGGGGAAGGGTTATACATTTAATGGGACAAGCATCTTACAATGCATCCCGCTGCTACTATTTTCCAGAGTAAAATATTGTAAAGGCTTGACTGAAGCTGAGGAATTGGATGTAGGGTATACTTTATATATATACTTTAAAATGTTTAAAACACTTTTTTAAGAATGCTTTTAGAAAGTAAAATGCACAGCAAAGATACAAAGAACAAAAATAATTCTGCAGACAATACAATATGTTGTCAGGTTTCAAAAAAACGACGAGCCATTGGTTAAGCATTTGAGATATTTAGAGAAAAATAAAACAGTAAAAACAACATTGAACGCAAAATAGTTTTATTGTATCTGACTAAAATCCCTTTACATAAATAGTTTCAAGGAGCTTGTTAAAAAGCTATTTGACTAAGGAGTTGGTGGCACATCCCCTCACTGCCAAATCAGTGGATGATGTGGCACAGTGAGAAGTGAGAAAATCCTTTAGACCTGTGTATCAACAGGCATTTTAGATTTAATAAAAAAATGCTACGCTTCATAAAAAATTCACTGTGAGGCTGGCTTTAGGAAGCCAACGTCTACTTTACTATGTTGTAAAAAGGGCAGGTTCCTGCTCTCATGACTCTTCCATTCAGCCAGCTATCTCTGATGGGCTGTTAGTGAAGGATAGAGAGATGAGGAAAGGGTGAAAAAGAAAGAAGGTGAGAGGGAAAGAGGTGGCATCATACACACACACAACTCAAGCTGCTGCCCCCAACGGCGGCTACTCTCCTATCTCCTTTGGTGGGGCTGACGGACACCAGAGGCTAACTGACTGACCTCATGTCTAGTCACACAACAGTGTCCACACACAGCCAGACTATCACATTCAAACACACATACATGACCAAACCACAACAACCACAAACAGCTTATAAAACAACCTTAGGAGCTGTGGGGCATATCACAGCTGCAATGCCCAAGGATGTCCCCCTGTGCAAACAAACCATAGCTTTCCAAACTGTCGATGCATGTATCAGGGAATATAAAGGTCTAGGGTTTATAAGAGAGCCTTATAAAAGGTAATGTTTTTACACGGGAGTGTGAGCCTCTGTTTTAGTGAGTGGGAGAGGGAGTTTTTGACCTCTCTTGACTTGTATAACACAGATTTCATGTGATGCGTGAGGAGAATACTGAGATCCAACTAATACAAGAACATTGAGAGTCTTAAAAAAGCCTCCCTGGCCATACGGTGGAGCACAAACCAGCTGCAGAGCCTTTTCATAAAGTAATAACTTCCGAACATAGCAGAGATTACAAGACGATAAAACACAGATCAAAGATTCATTTTCAGTAGGAGCGGGGGAGAGAACTTATGTGTCATCATCTTTGCTATATAAAATGCATACATCTGGGAGAAGCGAAGAACCACACGCATGTACACGGCCAACACACAAAGACACTCGAAAAAAGATTGCCCTGACTCTGAGGAAAAGGGATCACCATAAGTTGTTCAGTGTGTGTTTAATGGGGTGTGAGGAGTATTTGTGCATTTGGGTTCTGCCCCTGGGTTGTGTGTTTACAGACAGACAGCAGTTAGCCTGGACACTCATAAATGGGCAAGAGTGAAGAGAAAACAGGGAGGACTGTGCTGAATCAGCCATCTGAGATAGCAGCGCTGCAAAAGTGCCTCAAGGCAAACTTGTGAGCTGAAGAATGCCAACACACATACACAAAAACATTTTCAAGTACACATTCACTTAAATAAACACACACACGGAGAAACACTCCCGTATTGGCATCAGTGCAATCCCGACCTCCCAAACTCATTCACTTAAGTGATTTACAGAGAGACACATGTAGCCACTGCTGACCCCATTAAATGAAATGGCGCACCCACATTTTCCGCTACTTGACTAGCATATGTCCTACAGAACCTGGTGTAATTGAATGCCTCTCCTTGGTCAACTGGAGATGCCGCGATCAGCATTTCAGGAGGGGAGATAAGTGACAGCCAGGGTAAAACAAACAGGCAGTGACACACATTCACAACCACAGCTCACACTCAGCACAAGATAAATGTCCTTCTAGATTATAACTCCTACCTTGGAGCTAAGGCTCTTTCTCTAATTGACCCATAATATGTGCATGAATCCTAGCATTAAACTCATTAATTAGCTGCTCACGGATCTGCCTCACAGAGCGAGAGGGAGAAAGGAACAGAAATGGGCTAAGAGCTGGAGAGAGAGAGAATGAGAAAGTGATGCGAAAAATGTTAGCAAACCCTCTGAGGTATCGTAAGGGCGGGCAGCGGTGGGCTGAGCAGCGATATGCTTCATCAAATTTGGAACTGAGCCCAAAGTCTTTCCTCTTGATTTGTGAATATTTAGATTGGAGGAGGCCAGGAGTTCTTGTCCCGCAGAATGAAGAAAGCACATAGACCCATGACTCATCAAATGTGTTGGTTTTTCAGGGACAGGAGGGGATAGAACATTAGATCAACAAGCAATTACTCTTCCCAGTGGGAGAATAACCCACAGCTGAACTGGCTGCATGCAAAAATCAAAACATTCTTTCGTTTCAAGTGGTCTCTACAGGATTCTCTCTGTGTTGTTCTCTCCCTCTTTCCTTCTCACTTCCTTCTCCACCTTTACATCTTTTTGTGTCTGTCCCACTGGTAATGAATTGCTCCCTCTCTTCTCCCACCTTTCCTCCCCTTGTTGCTTTCTTGTCTTGATTGACAGGTTTGAATCCTTGTTAAGGTTGACTGTCTTCCCCTTTTTCTCTCCTTCTGTCTCTAGCTCTCTCCACAGTGAGTTGACGGAGGTATGGCAGCTGCGGATCACTGCTCGCTACTCATCAAAGTCTAACTGACATGACCTCATGTCACAGCAAACCTGACCGGCAAGGATGAGATGATGCGTGTGGCGCAGTGGATAGAGCGTTGCCCACATTATTGAGTATGTTAGTCGCTTTGGATAAAAGCGTCTAACAAGTAACATGCAATGTAATGATCATCTCTTCACAAGCATGTGGACAAACTTTGTATTCCAGAACTTTCCAAATGTCAAGTTAAATTAGAGACACTCAGATGTTCTTTCCACACAACAGTGACGTATTGATTGGCCTGCACGAGTGCTACGTGAGATGATCTTCAACATAAGCTAGTCTCTGTAAATAGGCTTTAATGATGGCTGATATGCAGATCCAGGATTAGTGCACAGGGGTTAGACTACACAATATGTTTTCTGAGCATATAATAAAGTGTGCCCTGCAGCTAATACATCATACATGGAACCACGCTGGCTCTGTGTCACATAGGGCACATGGGTTCAGCTTGTGCTGTTGTAAAATGTATACAGGTTATCAGAATACAAAGTAATTGGAAACGTTGGTCTTATATTATTATGGAGGCAGTGAAATAAGACTTTTATTAGCTTGTCATGCTAGAATCACCAGGTAGGTGTGAGATCAAATGTAAAATGTATACTTAGTCATGCAGAAAGTCAATGCAAAGGATAATAAGATGGGTTTGTAAATGGCTTCTCACTCAAACCTAATAAAAGTTACAGCACACTAAGTCCTCCCCTGACTTTTACTTTAGGATCACTCTGAAGTATAAGTGAGCTTTTAAACCCCAAAAAGGTAGTCGGTCAAATGTATGCAGCAGAAAGGTAATAAATATAAGGCTTAAAAGGGAAATGATCCATTCCGTAATATGACATATTTATCATTATAGCGTTATATTATTGCGAAACTCTAAGTTGAGCCAATAAAGTTGTGATTCATGTTGAGACTTTTCTTTTTTTAAATAGCCCTTTGCCTGATTGAATC